GGAGCCCCAGCGGAGCCGGTCCGGCACAGCGCGTTCAGCGCCCCTCGCCGCCGCCGCCCCACCTGCGCTCGCCCAGCGCTCCTCGGCGGCCGCCCGGGGCGGCTGTGGCCGGCCCGGATCTCCGGAGCGCCGGGCTGAGCCCCGCGAGGGGCTGACCCCGTTCTGGTGTCCGGCACCTCCTGCCGTGCTGCTCTTCCTCCACGCAGGGAAGCCGGGGCATCACCTTTGCCCCACCCGGCTGTGCATCCCCGAGGAACAGGGGTTAAGTGGTTGCTGGAGGGATCCAGGGGCTGGAAGGGTGGCCGGAGAGCTGCCGAGTTATTCCTGGCTGTGGAACAGCCCCTCGGGGGCTGCTGCAGCCAAAGCTGGAGGATGGAGCCAACTCCCAACGAGGGCAGCGCGAGGCCAATTTACATGGGAAGCTAAGCACGTCCCCAGCAGACCAGTGGTGGCACAAGGCCATCATTGGCCCCTTTCCTTCATGCATGAGCCAAGCAGAGCTTAGGAGGAACAGAAAATTTAGGTCAGTGAATTGAGTCCAGTTAACAGAAAGAAAGAAAAAAATAAAAAAAAAAAAAGGAAAATCTTGAAGTAGAGATTAAGGGCAACTCTTTTATGACACAAATGCACAGTTTTGACTTCTGCCCCTGATGATGTGAACTTCTGCACCATAAGTGAATTTCTCATCAAAGACCTGTGACTTATAGGCACCTGGTAATCTCTGGTCCTTATTCTGGATGTGCAGTCCAGTAATTGAGGACCTTCCCAAAGAGAAGTGGAAGGTGCAGCATGCTGGAGGCTCCAGGCAGTAACAGCAGCTGGCACAGCAGTAGCAAGCACCAGAGCCACTGTCCTTTGGATGTTGAAAGACCTTCTCTGAAACTGTGGTTGGCTTCTTTCAGCTTCGTGATGCCTACTTCCTTCAACCCTGTGCAGCTCCTCACTTGCACTTTGACACCCTGTTTTTGATTCAACTCATCTGTCCTTTCTCCTTCCTTCTTTTTTATGCGGTTTATGATCTGCTCAGAGATATTTGCTTTCATCCCCTGATTTTGGTTTGTTCACTTCTCTTCTGTGCCATTTTGCCATGTTTACATTCCAGGTACCCACATACTAGTCTGTGTTTGTGCTGTGTTCCTTAAAGCCCCATTTTCTGGCTTATTCACAATTGTACCATATGTGGTTTCTACCACACAGACCATGGCAGTCTAGAGCATTGAAAATGTGAAAATGCCCTGTAAATGGCTAGGACATCTCATTGGTATGTTATTTTCTGTCATAAAGTGGCTTCTGTTGATGCCTATTCGTAAAGTTGACAGTGTAGCTGAAGAGTTTCCAGCAGAATTTCTGTTTATTCTAAAAAAGTGTATTCCCTAAATGCTTTTTAAAGTTAAAATTTGGGAGTTTTATTTTTCATTCTGAGATAATTTATTTTACATTTTGGGGGTGCTTGCTTCATGTGTTCAGTCTTTGAATTGAAAAGGTCTCTCATTTTGAGAACCTCAGCAAAGGGAACTGGATCTCTGCCAGTTTTAGCAGCAAAGGATTTAAGAAAAATACAAATTTTATAAGAAAATGAGCTGAGTTAACAATATTTTTCTACCTAAGAGTCAAAAGGGAGTCAGTAATTACATGTCAAGAAGGAACACCTTCTGTGCTCTGGGGAGTCTTCTGTTGAAATAAAGAGAGCTTAGCAAATGCCATAGAGCAATCGAGCAAGAAATGAGGATGACAGTTTCTGCTGTACTTCTTTTGTATGAGTATTAAACCCCCGAAGCCAAAGGGAGAGATTCATTGAAAAAACACAGGCTTCTTGTAGCTGCACACCTCCCAAATCTTGAACTGTTCATGTACAAAAGTTTCATGCTTTCAGGTTGTGCTCTGTATCTTTTTCTCTCAAACAAGCACAAGTGCAGCCCTAATACAACTGGAGGAGAAGCTGGGCCGATTCTCGGGTGTATTTCATGTAGATCATGTGTAGTCCACACGATCATTTGATATTTTCTTTCCTCTTCAGAGCAAAAGTGGGCCTCCAGTGAGGGTCTTCAGCTTGACAAAAAATGTGAATTCCCCCCTCACTCCTCTGCACTTCTGCAGCTCCCTGGTTTGTTTGCTTTGGGCATGCTGTGCCTCCTCTTTGTTCTATACATCTGATGCCACAAGCCAAGGATCACAAAAAAAGTGTGGATTGTACAAGGAAGGGATATGATCCTGGTGTGATGGGTAGAGGAAGGAGCTGAAGCCTTGAGCTGTTTGTTCTGTATTAGTAAATCCATCATTCTAGAACACATATTCTGGAGATTTGCTTGTTGTACATATTGATAAAATGTCTAATAATAGAGTAAGTAGGCTTGGGAGGAACTTTAGGATCTAGTTCAACCCATGCTCAAAGTGATACCTATTGGTGTACTTGTTCATGGATGCTGGTTCATTTCTACTTGTTTATTTACAGATTCCTTCAGGAATCCAGGTGTCTGATATTTCCAAGAGAGCACAATAGTCTCTCTCTGTTGTCTTGTAGGGACTGGAGGTATCTCCAAACAAATGCCTTATGGATTGATCTGTCATTTGTCTTTTATACTTTTTAGTGATGTACCAGTTTTGTAAGCCTTCAGGATTTTGGGATACCCATGTGGCTGCAGTTTTGTTCTCACCCTGTATTCCACATCTCTCCTGAGCTGAAGGTGAGCCCTGGGCTCCATGCACAGGCTGAGCTTCAGCAGCAGTTGTATTAAATAGTGTGAACACATCAGCAGGGTTGTGCTACAGGCTTTTCAAGGCTGGTTTGAGCAAACCTGATATTAAATCCAAACTCAGTTCCTATCCAACCTATCAGTATCAGCCCTTGGTTCTTTACTGCCCAGTGCTGCTCTTCCCTCCCCAGAGAGTTTTGCCACTGCAGCTCAGCTTTGCAGTTAGCTCCTTTCCTTCCAGGTTGGGCTTTGTCCCAGGAATCTACACTCCTATCCAAGAGGCTCTGGCTTTACAGCCCAGCCCTGCAGTCAGGTCACTTTTGATGGTGAGCTGGCTCTGGGGCATTTGGCAGAAAGAAATTGATTGGGCTGAGCTGTTTCATGTCCACATCAGAAAATATGTATTTATATTTCCAGTATTCTCTGTTGAGGGTTCTTTGTGGGGAAAGGTGGGTGGTGTGTGAATGGAATTATCACTTCACTGCACAGACCATGCTAGTAGCCAATATTTGGAATAGTCTGACCAGTAGTCATGCAGTGGAGGCAGCCCCAGGTGTTTCATGGCATTGTTATTTGGTAGCCAAATTGTCCCAGAAGTTTCTGGT